ATGGTACATCTACAAGCAAGAATAATCTATAGCCAATAAAAGTCAGGATTTAGAAGGATATTTAATCATATGGGAAAATGCTCATGATGTATTGTTAAGCATTCGAAGCTTAAAATTTAACGTTAAAAATGGAATGCCTAATAGGATCTTGAGTTTGGGAAAAATAGATATGCAGAGCAAGGACCAAAATAAAATAAAAATTATAATAGTGCTTGTCCTTGGGGGATGGAATTACAAATTATTTTTAAAAATTATTTATGGGGCTGGGGTTGTGGCTCAGCGGTAAAGCGCTCGCCTCACACGTGCGAGGCCCTGGGTTCAATCCTCAGCACCACAAAAATGCACCACAAAAATATAAATAAATAAAATACAGATATGTTTTCAATTACAACTAAAAAAATAAATATTAAAAAATTATTTATAATTTACAATTATAGATTTTTTTTTCTGCAAAGAACATGTAGGGCTTTCATAACGAGAGAACATAGCTTATTATTAAAATGATCTTGGTTATTCACTTAGGCTTCCTGGCTGTCTGAGACTCATTTTTAAAAATCTATCTTAAACACAGAGAGGATCTACAGAGAAATTTCAATGAGCTCCCTAGATTGCTGGTATCCTTCTGATACTACCAGGGAGGTGGGTCAGTCCCTCTTTTCTTTCTCCCACTGGGTTTCAGTGTTTTAGGAAGGTCCCTCATTGACTTCAAGGGCAAACATCAACACACAGGGGTCTGACTGTCTGGATTTGCCGGCATTGGTTAGGTCCAGCTCTGGGAGTCTGCCCATCTCTTTAGGGCACACCCTTCTTGGACTGGTGGGACCTTGCGGTTCTAGGAGAGAAGTTCAGGGGGGCTTGAAAGGGTACAAGGGAGAAGCCTTGTAAAAATTCAGGGGAGGACAGGGCCCCACTCAAAATGTGGGATTCTCAGAAGGGCTCAAGTCCAAGAGAGATGTGTTACCAGGAGGAATGATGAAGTAGATCTTTTAGCTGCAATTAAGGTGAGCCAGGTCTAAGGGAAGCCTCCATCAAGAATGGAACCCCTCAAGAGACTCCTGGCACAAGGAAGGGAAGAAAATGCACATTCCCAAAGTGCCCACGAGGTGGCAGACTCTTTCCTGTTCAGAGAATTCTCAAGCTCTTCCTGATACAGGGGTCTTAAGAGTCACAGGAGGGACAAGCTCCTCTCTGGAGCTTCTAATACAGATTCTCATTCCTAACAAGTTGCAGGTGCTAGTGCCACTGATGGGTGGACCACACTTTGAACACTGAATATGTCATCTCAGATTCTGGGAATGGAGGAGGCGATCAACGGGTAGGATGTAGTCCTTCCTTGTGCAGGGAGATCAGCTCAAATTGTGACAAACTGCAAGGAGATGTGGCATGGAAACAGAGGGAGAGTGTGGGTGGTAGAGGTGAAGTGGGGAAGGGAAGGGTGATTGGCTTCTGGTTGGAATAGCCTCCCATACTAGAGTGAATTTGGATGGTGGGCTCTCATTCTAGTCAAATGTGTTAATTAGTAATGTGTTAATTAGTAAGACTGCAGCAGATAAAGACCACAGGTAGCAAATTGAAATAAAAGCAGTATTCAGAGCAAAGTGAAAAAATAAATATTAGATACATACCAAAAATAAGCCCAAAGGAAAAAACATTTAAGAGTGCTATAATCATAAAACAATGGTTTGTAAACGATTTGAAGTGAAAGACCATTAAAAAAACCTGGTATTTTATGGACTAATACATGGTTCTGCTGCATAAGACTTTTGATTAGCTCTGGCCACACATGACTGACCAACACCCTACTGCTCTGTACCCTACTCACCAAGATGAGTCCACTGATGATGCGTTTGGATGTGGATGGCAATACTAAAATGCTATAAGAGTTCCCAAAGCTCCCTCTTGGCTCTGTACTTACATCAGTGAAGAGTAGAAATCAACAATTTGCAAGAAGAGTGGAAGTCTACAAGTCCTTCTCAGCCTGGCTGGGTTACTGGTTTGGGAGATGGGTTTAATGCAACCTCAAGCAGTCAACTTATTATTTTGTATCCTATACCATAGACTTGACTTTTTTGTGTTGGTCATGTCCATTTAGTTATTATCAATTACATTCAGGGTCCTTGGAATGGGGTTAGTTGGGTATCCTTTTGGCCCTACTACCATTTTTTTTCATGCTTGGATATCAAGGGCAATATCCTGCACATAGTAGGCCCTCAATGAACACTGAAGAATGAATGCATGGAATAGCAGCCCAGGAATGAGATATCAAGGGTGCTCTGAGGTAGGACAGCCAGTCAGGAAATAAATGCCCAGCATAAACGGGCATCAAGTAGCACTTTCCTTGCACTGACTATGTAGATATAGTAGATAATCAGAGCAGATGGAGGAGAGCCTAGTCCAAAGAGAAAAGACAGATGAATCACTCTGCTTTCCTGGTGCATCACTAAATACAAAACAAAAAGATAAGTCTATGGTATAGGATCCAAAATAATAAATGAGCAAAGTTTAGTTTGTAAGATTCTTGGGCCATGATGATGTAGGTTTCTGGGTGGCCCTTTCATGGTGAACCAGGGCATTGCCTTGTGCCTCCAGAAACTACAGAAAATCCTGCCTTAGTAGTTTATTATTATTATTTTTTAATATTTATTTATTTATTTATTTTAGTTTTCGGCAGACACAACATCTTTGTTTGTATGTGGTGCTGAGGATCGAACCCGGGCCGCATGCATGCCAGGCGAGTGCGCTACTGCTTGAGCCACATCCCCAGCCCCCAGTAGTTTATTGATTACTACTAGAATCATGAAGATGCACTTCAATCATTTAATTATATTTTCTTACTGAGTAATTCTCCCACTTTTAGTGAAAAGAGCCGAAAGAAACACCATGCCCCACCCCATACGCATCTGTCATTCTTCCCTTACTCCATTCCTTACTAGGCACACAGCACAGTTCAAGGAAGATATGTCATTTTACAATGCACAGCTAGTAATAATTCTCACAGGAATGAAGTCCGTTATTTGGAGAGTACTGTATGTCAGGTACTATGCCAAATGCTTCAATACTTTATCTTATTTCATTCTATCAACAATCATGTAAGTTTACTCAAGGACAGAAAATAGAAGGCTAGGATGCTAGCACCCATAATTTGAAAAATTTGTGATCTTAACTACTGTCCTTTACTTTGGGTCTTGTATCCAGAGACTATTTCCTTTGGCCTTTTGCTTTTTTTTTTTGCCTGACCCCAGAGCTCTATGCCTTCCAGGCAAGTGTTTTGCCACAGAGCTGTATCCCCATACCTCTTAAAAAAATTTTTTTTTGAGACAGATCCTGCTAAATTACCCAGGGTGCCTCAAACTTTTGAAAACCTCCTACCTCAACCTCATGAGTAGCTGGGATTATAGGCATGCCCAGTTCATCTTGCTTTCAAGGTACACTAACAGATCTGAAATATGTTATGTTGGGAACTCTAAATACCTACAGCCAAGGTTTCTCATAAATGATAGTGACATAGATGAATTCTATGAACAAATGAATGTGGATACCAGTTGTGAATGAATCAGATTTAGTTCATGAAGTCCTTAAATCACAAGGACACTACAGTACTGTGGATATTTCACTGTAAACTAAGGTCTGACCTAGTTTTAATGAAGCCTATAAAATTCAAAGATATAATTTGGTCACCAAAGCTGACTATATCTCAATTGTATCTGAAACAAATGTACATATGTGTGTGTAAGTGTGCACATCACACACACACAGTCCTAAGTCCTGACTCCTTTGAAAAATCTTATTTTTCCTTTTTCTAAGTATCCCTTACATTTTTCAAACCTCCTAATCAATATGAAGGACAATTCAAACACAAACCTTTCCAAAAGGAACGTGTATAGTTTTGACTACACTTGAACTAGAGCTCGTGACTATTTACTGTTATCTTTGGATAACTCTATTTTCAACTGAAGCAATCTGCATACTCAATTTCCCAGGTAAACTGGTAGCTACAAAGAGCTTTCAAAATGTTTTCAGAAAAGCTAAAATCTTAGCTCTTTTACAGAAATGATAAATTGTGTATGTATGTGTAAGATAGGATAGTTGGCAGAAATCCCTTAATAGCTTTTATGTAGGAGTCTTTACAAATTTTCATTGTTACATATTGGTATACGATGGCAAGATTTTCAAACACACAATCTTTACGATGAGTAGTAATAATTAATAAACCAAAAGAACCTTATTATTATTATTATTATTTTTTAAAAAACCGTCTAAATTGTAAAGAATAGGAAATCTCATGAACTTGGACATTTAAAGACACAAATTGATTTCTTGAACACTTAACGACACAAACTGATTTAAGAAGCAAAGGTTTTGGGGAGCCCTAAGACAATAAAGCGATCAGCACCAAGACATCTGTCAGGGTGGAGGCGACGTGAGGTAAAGAACAGCTAAATCTCATGCAATCAGGAACTTAGGCCAGTTTAACTATTTTTTTTTTCTTATGAGGTGACAACCTCCTAACACCATAATCTCTCTTTTCAGGATGATGACATAGGATTTAATGAGTAAAGGACAACAACTTAAAACCTCTCTATTGAGCACAAATCGTCTATTTAGGTTAAAGGCAGGCATCGAAATCCCGTTAACCACTGGCACAACTGGGAAAAGAAAAACACACGTGTGTACACACGCCCATACACACACTTCAAAGCAAACCTTTTCATATCCAACAGTCTGTTTCTACTCAGATGCAAAAAAAAAAAAAACAGAATGAAAGCCCAAGCTACCCACACTTCTGCTAATTAAAGCAATAGAAATGTCTTCTCCCCAAAGATATAATTTGGGGAGAAGACATTTCCCCAAGCATCCCAATGCAACCTGAATCGGAACACGTGAATACGGTGCCTTGGAGGAATCAGAGACCGAGTATACAGTTACAGGGAGATTCTTTCTTCTGTATAGAAATATGCAATAAATGTTTTCAAAAAGAAAAAACAAATAAGTCCAGTTACCTTTGCATTTCTTCTCTTCCGTCTGGAAGGTCTGGGCACTTGAGATGCTCTGGTCGTTCACATCCTCATGGTCCAGGTGGAATATGGAGCTGGTCCAAGTGGCCTGGATGAGATGCGGTGACGCCTGTTCATTTTTCAGGGTGCTGCGCCTCTCTGAATGGCTCTTCCTGTGTAGGCAGCCTTCGGACATTCCTACTAGCTTCCAGTCCTCCTCCCGGTCTGGACAGTGCTTCGGTTTGTCCCAGGCTGGAAGGCCATTTTCTAGGGGGTTGAAAAACACGAGGTGACAAGCTGTTGGTTGTGTGGAGGCTTTGCTGAGATGCAGAGTTCTGGAAGGCAGGCGGTTTCTCAATTCTTTGGGGCTGACAGTATTCACATGGACCTCCACTTGAAGGCAGTGACATGATGCGGAATTCGTCAGCCTTGGGCATCTAGCCACCATGGCTAGGTTGCCCGTCCGAGTAATGAACACTCCTGCTTATGCCCAGTGTCTAGGAGGACATGTGTTCCACCCTGGCACGGCTGTACTTTCACCCGTCCCCCTTCCACGGCAATGGCCCAAGAGGAAGTTTACACCCATTTATGTCACTGCTTACATGACCATTTGAGGTCTTGAGAATCAAATCAGGGCTGGCCATGACCTTAGGTCGGATCCTCAGGACATAAAACATCCGGGACTCAGCCTTGTTTGACTTGGGTTTTATCACAGGCTGACCTGAGGGACACCTTGTTACTTAAATGAGAGGCACTCACGTGGCCACACTGAGAGTGACAACTCTGTTCTTACTACCTTCTACCCCGCTGGTTGGGGGAAGAGGGGAGGAGAAGAAGAAGAAGAAGAAGAACTGGATCTTTCAAATATAAAAGTTTTGTAAATGATTTCAATGTAGTCCCAAATTGGCAATGAGATCAGGTGAAATGAAGCAGTTAGTACTTTAGCTGTGGCCTAATAATAGAACGATGAGCCCAAAATCTCTTTGGCAGCTGTACCCGGTGGTTAATTATTTATGTGTATTATATACTTTTTCCTATTCAATTTATAGGGACTTGAGGGTCTGCCCTCTAGAAAATGGAAAAAGATAGGATAATATAATGAAGAATTTCTTATATTAATCTTCCCTGGTTGCAATTTTTCTCTTTTCATATCTTTATATGGATATAAAGTACAGAGCAAAAAAAATGAGCAAATGTGTGTATACATCTATGTACGTACACAGATATTTACAGATATATACTATACATATTCAAAAGTACATATAAATCTGTATAGATTCACAGGTATATATATATGTTATATATCTGTGTGTATACACACACATATATATCTGTGGAGGGATGTGAGAGAGTGTGTGTGTGTGTATAAAATACATATTTTAAAAATATAACCTATCTGGTCACCCATATTTCTAGAAATTCTTAGCCTTAGAAAAACTATAAAGAGTCTTCCTCTTAAAGTGGTCATGCACGGTGACTGAAAGACTGTAATTCACTCATGAATTTTCTTTTATGCTAAAGTTATCAAAAGATCCTAGATGCTTGTATCCCTGGTGCTTTTAGAGATAAGTCCATCTGACCTGTGCTTAGCCTAGGGAATTTTAACCTAGTTTTCAAACATTTAAAAGGAATTCAAATTATTTAATAAAAGAGTAAAAAAGGCTTAAGGTTTTCATAAGCACCCTCTTTTAAAATTTTATTTATTTATTTTTTATGTGGTGCTGAGGATCGAACCCAGTACCTCACAAGTGCGAGAAAAGCGCTGTAACGCTGAGCTATAACCCCAGCCCCGCACCCTCTTTTTTTTAAGGTATCTTTTTTGTTCTTTTTAGATATAAATGTCAGTAAGGTGTATTTTGACATATTATACCTACATGGAGTATAACTTTCCATTTTTGTGGTTGCATTGGAATAATACTTAGCCACAAAGATAAATGAAATTATGGCATTTGCTGGTAAACGGATGGAACTGGAGACTGTCATGCTAAGTGAAATAAGCACCCTCACTTAATGCCACTAGATATCTTCAGCCGAGTTTGATCAGGTTAGCTTCTCTAAAAGTATCAGCTCCTCCGGGTCACTTATGAAAGTTGTATTGGTACTTCTGAATTTTCATGTTACTCTGAAAAAGTTCTGATGCCCAGGCACATTCTACTTCTACACCAGGAGACATCCATGAACAAAAACATCATCATCAACAACAACAAAGGCATAATCAGTGCCTGATTTTTTGGTTATAGTTTATGGAAATGCTATGGCTTGAAGTAGTTCATTTGGCTTGTAAGCAATGTCTTCTTTAAAAATGTCATACATCATGCTAACTGCTGGGTGTGATATTTAACCTTATTCAGAGAAGAGCTCTGAAAATTGATTCTATGCAAAGGGCCGTGTGAGGCATAGTATCAGGTAAGTTAAATAAATACGGGAACTTTCTTCTCAGAGTTTATATGGTATCACTCATCGCATGGTGAATCAAACAGGTCTGCATGCAGTTCTTCCCCTTTTCAACCAACTACTAGTGCAATTACTTATTCTCACTATCCACTAAAATGAAACAACAGATTGGGATCTTGGCAGACTGCATTGCATCTCAAGCCAAACACGTCTGTGTAGAACTCTTTCAAGCACCTATTATCCAGGAGGGTTTAAGGTTTTCATGAACTAAATATACAGTAAATGAATGCAAGGGTTAATTCTGGGCTTGAAGAAGATTAATTTTATTTCTACAGACATGTGAAGCCTTCTCGCCTATGCATGCTTCTACAGTGCCAACTTTATTTTCAGAGACTCTAAATCCTTAGTGAATTGCACCTTTTAAAGCTTAATTTCAATAATGTTAAAATACTGACATTATTCTTCAGAGTTCCATACTTTGGTTTTTCTGCAATGATTCTTAAAATTTGGTACTAATGCCCCAGTCCCAACAAGAGATTAAGAGATCTGCTCCCTAGAGAAACTTTATGTAAAAGATGCTGAAAAGCACTGCACCCCAAGGGGGCGCTCTGCTTTATAGCACAGCCATTAAAGCTTGCTCAGCATGACCCTCAGGCCAGCAAGGAGGAGTGTCTTCTAAGCAAGGGAGGCCACATTTGGGGTGAGGTGAGGGATAGGATTGCTTTCCACTTTCCTAAGAAAAGAGCTTAAGATGGTTTGGGAAAAGAGCTGTATTCATGGGAGGAATTTACAAGCTCATAATTGCTGTCTGTAATTACATTCACAATAATGATATTCAGTTGCTTAATTGGCAGGTTTATTGGTTGGGGTACTGCTGGGAAACATGGAGACTGAGAAGTCCCGGTTGGGTCATGGGAAAACTTAACAGATTTATTTTAAAAGGATTCTTGATTCTTATCGTCTCCAGAATGGGACACATGCAATTCTTATTCCATTCCCAAGAAAGAATGAGACACCCTTTGCACAGGGCCCTTAAGTTCCACCTACTGGGTATTTTGTTGATAAACTACAAGTTATGTCCACATATCTGTGTGTATGTATGTATGCATACATACACACAGATATAGGTGCATATGGATATTTACATACATATATGTATATAGACACACATAAACATTCACACACGTAGGGAATAATGGTTTTCAGGAATTTTTTGCTATTACTATACTAAGTGCTCAATCTTTGGTTCCCCCACAGTTCACTCCAATGGGATATTTCTTTTCAGAGGGACTAGCATACCAAAAGCTAGTGATTCTCAACTTTGGTATTCATCAGAACACCTGAGGCATTATTAAACACCACCAAAGATCTGAACTTTTGACTTGGGAGGATGGGGCCTGGGCATGTGTATTTCTGCTCAGTTCTGCAGGTGACTGTGACACCAATGGATTTTGAGATCCACAGGGGTGAGATAAATTTAAGGCAAGAAAATACATTGGCAGATTTTAGATGGGTGTGCAGTCTCCACAGGCACTAATGTTTTACATAGCCTCAGAGTAAATTTGCATTATCATTCAAAAATTCTTTAATTGTTTGAGGGTCTTCTGAGTGACACATTAAAAGCCAGATTTTAACTGGATATTGTTAAGCCCAATAAATCCATATATACTTATTCAAAAAGAGTGTTTGGAGCATTATCTGGGATAGCGAGCACATGGTACTAGAACTAATTTTTTTTTTACACTTTTTTTTATGTTGTGGTTGGACATTTATTTATTTATTTTTATGTGGTGCTGAGGATGGAACCCAGTGCCTTGTACGTGGTAGACTAGTGCTCTTCCATTGAGCCACAACCTCAGCCTCTAGAAGTCATATTTTTAAAAAGGGGATTCTAGAAAAGATCATATCTTGTTATTCACATGAAGTGTGAACACTTTGCTCTTTAATTGAGCTCAGCTAACATCTGGCTTTTAACACTTCATATTCTAGACATCAAGATAATTAACCAATTTAATCCATCCGTTGTCATGCAAATTAATTTAAATAAATTAACTGGATAAGGGCATATGAACTTCTACTAAAGTAACTAGGAACACATTAACTTGTGTGTCTCAAGGGAGCTTAGACATAAATGAGTGTGAGAACCATCACTTTAATGGCTTTGAATGACAACACTGGTCTAAAGGGTCTTTTTTTAAAAAAGAAATAAACATAAATCTCATTAACATAATTGCCTGTATCATATATCTCTGGAAATTTCATTAAAGATGATAGAAAATAAGTCTGTCCCTCAAAAAAGGGGAATTATATTAAAATTTTCATGTATTTCAGGACATAATAGCAAGCTGATACTTTGGAAAAGAGCTAAAGCAAAGGAAATAGGATTATGATAAAATGACCAGAAAGGATGAGAGCAGTAGGCTGGGATTTCACGGTGCTCATTATAAGCAGGTTCAGCTTGCATTAAAAGGCCAACTGAAGCCAACCATGGTGGCGCACACCTGTAAACCCAGTGACTTGGGAGGCTGAGGTAGGAGGAGTGCAAGTTAAAAGCCAGCTTCAGCAACTTAATAAGGCCCTGAGCAACTTAGTGAGACCCTGTCTCAAAAAATAAAAAAGGGCTGGGAATGTGACTCAGTGGTTAAGTGCCTCTGGGATCAATCCTCAGCACATACACAAAAAGCCATTGATATTAGATACTGTGATCCCAGACCATATTAGGGGGACAGGCACATAATACGCTTTGCAAACCCAGGGGACCTGTTGAATGATCATGATTTGGCATCAGACTATTCAGTATGACATCTCTAACTTCCATTTAAATGTTTCACTCCAACTGGTAAGGTTTATTCTTGGATGATTTTTCAGACTAT